CCAGGGGCCACCCACCTCTTCTCCAGCACATACTCCCTGAGGAGGTTGTGTTTTAAGTGAACAAAGACAAACAAAATCCAGGCCCTCCTGGAGCTGACATTTTCATGTCATAAGAAAAAAATAAACCATTATTTGTTTAAGCCACTTGAAATTGGAGTTTCTGTTATTTGTAGCCAAATTCAGTATTAACTGATACAACCATTTACTTAAATCATTTGATCTACTTCCAGAGGTTAGAGGGAAGATGTTGGCGTCTGCGTTAGGGCGTCCTGGAAGCACAGCGACCCAGCCTCTGAAGGCGGATGTGGAGCGGCTTCTGAGGCTGGAGCCCGGACTGTACTTCCTAGACGAGTCTTTCTGACATTGACTGCACCCACCCAGGGCGTGTGCTGAAAACCACGTCCTCAGAGAGGTGGATGGAGGATGACGCTACAATTGTGAAAACTGGAAATTATCTTACATGTCCAGCTAAAAGAGGACCATCGAGGCAATCAGTGCATACCGGCTCATCAGTCGTCCTGTCGCCATTTCATATAGGACTGGGATGCAGCAGCCACGTGAACCAGGCCTAGAGGGTAAAGCAAAGCAAGGACAGTGGGGACAAATGTTTAAGAGCGTCATGGTCCAAGCTAAAGTAAGAGGAGGTGGATGTTAGGAGGCTGGAAGGCGGAGCATAGGCCTGGATGCTAGACCGGCTTGGTGGCAGAGCTGCGGTACTTGGCTATTTCTGTGTGCACCTAACAGGATTTCGTGGCTTTGAATTTAAAAACTGGGCTCTATTTAAAAACCAAATCTGCAACAGGTGTACTCCCAACAGGAAAGTGGGGTGTCACACTCTATCGGGATGGTGCAGGACGCAGGGTCTGAGGGAGTCAGTACCTTGGCACCCCCGTTCTCAGCAGGGAGCCCGTCCCACTGGACACCTGTGACTGTGGCGTGGGGGCGGCCCTGAGACAGCCCCACCTCCCGACACTCGTGATTGGCTGAAAGACGCCCCTCCTACTCCCACTGAGCCATTCGTGGGCCCACAATCTTTGCCAGTGATTGGCCCACGCAGGGCATGTGACCAGAGGGCCCCTGGAGACCGGGACAGGAACCTGTGCGCACCTCCAAGGCTTTTTTGGTAAATGCTTGGGCCTGTGGTCAGCTTTCCTGGCATCCTGGAGCTTTCTCAGGCTGGCCGGTTGCAGGTGGGCTGCAGTCCTCCTAGACTGTGGTCTTCAGCTGTTAGGAATCCTGTTAGCGCTCAAAGTGTTTTAAAGTTGCAGGAGAGGGGTGAACAAAATCATTTGGTTCGAGAATCAGTAGTTTTTATAGGCTAAGGTTAAGGCCCAGTGGAGATGACAGCTCAGAGGGGCCTGGCTAGAGTTTGTCTAAAGATAAAGTCTTAGTCTTCACCCAAGGACATCTTACGGTCTTTGAGGCTGCTCTCAGGCGAGCTCATAGCAGAAGTGGGTTCCTTAAGGTTTCCAGAAGCTGGGCACTGGGGTGGGTTACTCAAAACACCTGATTCTGGCAAGATGGCTGCACTCCCAGCCCTGCCTCTGGAGGGGGCTCCGGTGTGTGTGTGAGAGAGACTGACTCCCCTGTCCTCCTAATATTCCCCCATATTCCGCGGGCTGCGGGGCTTTCCAGAAACAGGGCTGGTCTGGGCAGGTGTCTTTCCCTCATTAGGCTCATCTGCCTGGGCCAGAAAACTGAGGCCTGTGGTGGGTGAGGGGGGAGTCTGAGGGGTTTAAGTCCAGGTGTCTGTCCAGAACACAGCCTGCTTCCCCTGCAGCCACTGATGAGGGATTTAGGAAGTGCCTCTTTCCACACCCCGGGACAGGGCAGGTGAGGCGTCCCCTGGTGGGACGGGGAGCATGGGCCACAGATGGCCAAGGCAAGTGGAGGACTCCCCATAGCTTTCTGGATAAGAAAGGTCAGCACAGGGGCAGGGCAGGAAGTGTATGGGAGGAGTCCCTAAGTTTCTAGGGAAGTTGTTCCTCTTTGCCAGCTGCTGAAGACCAGACAGGCTCCAGGAGCTGCAGAGGGTGAGCGGGGCCTCTCGGAGATGGAGGGGCTGTCTCCCTGGCATGGAGGGCTGCAGGCAATGCCTGGGCAGTGCTGCTGCCATGGGGCTTATTATCCTGAGGCGGGAGCAGGGTGGGCAAATAAATAAAGAAATAAACCAGTTAGAGGATTAACAAGAGCCATGGGGAGATGTGAGTGTGTGATTAGAGTGAGTGGCCCTTTTCTAAATCTGGTGATCGAGGAAGAATGTTCCACGTACCAGGAGGGGCCCCCAGAGGCAGTTCTAAGGTGGCAGTGTGGCTGGAGCAAGGTGAGGAGGGCGGCCAGGAGCCCGGTCTCTCAGGCTGGGGAGAGGCTGGGGCAGAGCAGCAGAGCTGAGTCAGCAGTGGCATGTGCTTTGAGCTATGTGTGGCCCTCCTTTCCTCCCACCATAAGGAGCCACTACACTCTTTACTTCAGGGGTCCTCAAACTTTTTAAACAGGGGGCCCGTTCACTGTCCCTCAGACTGTCGGAGGGCTGGACTGCGGGCCCCGGGAAGAGTCAGCTGCTAAGCAGGACAGGCAGCGGCGGGAAAAACACCTCGTGGGCCAGATAAATGTCCTAGGTGGGCCGCATGTGGCCCATGGGTCGCAGTTTGAGGATGCCTGGTCTACTTAGTCCTCCTGGCTGCTGCCAGAGAGAACTGGTCACACACAGGGAGGGGTTCGAGGGAGGGCTGGTCGTTCCCAGCAAGCCTGGAGGGCTCTAAAGGTCTCAGGCTGTGGGGTTTTCTCTGGGCTTCAGTATCTCTATCAGGGCCTTTGTAGTCACATTCTATAAACTCTTTATTGAAAACAGAGGCTTTATTTTTAGCTTGCCCAGATGGCAGGCTCCCAGGCCAAGGAGGGCTGCTGCTGCTCCATGCCTTTGGCTTTAAGCAGAGCCTCACATTTGTGTATGGTCTGCTGCTCTGTTTCCAGACCCATTCTGTAGCTGTGGGGCCCTTACCTTAACCCTCGTTTGCTTGGCCTTTCTCCTCTGCCATTGGGGGTGGTAGCAGAGGGAGAGGAAAGGCCTGTTCTGTTCTAACTGGCAGAGGGCAGCTGTGGGCTGTGGGAGAAAACACAGCATTGTCCGGGGCAGGGAGCCTTCTGGGCTGTTCACAGCCACGAGAGGAAGAGTTGAATGGGAGGGCGAGAAGGGCAGGCCCCAGGGCAGCTCTGCCCCTGTGGGGAGGACTCTGTCTTCAGGGTGACTTGTTCTAGCTGCCTCTAGGCCACAGGGGATGGCATCTGGTTCTTTGAGCAATCAGTTTCCTCATCTGTAAAGGGGATGATCACTGTGCAATACTTACCTCCTGAGAATTAAAGCCATGTGCCATATGTCACATGCTCTCTAAGCCGTGGGTCTTTTTGCAAATGTTAGGTTCTTTTTCTGAAAACCATAGTTCCTACTCTTGCTACTTCTAATCTCGGCCAAGCGAACTAAGGTAAACACATTCACACCAAATTCAGTCTCCCCTTTCCACATCTCTGAGGCTAGTCAGGCAGAAGGAGCCTGCACCTTGCCAAGCTTCCTGAACCCCAGGCCCTGTTCAGATGACTTCAGAAGGGGGCAGGGAGAGGGAGTGCCCTGTCAGCAGGGGCAGATTCTGACCCACAGTAGGTCCCAGGGCATCTGATTCCAGTTCTCACCTACCAACAGACTTAAGGAGGCTGTACGGCAAGCCTTGGTTCTCTGTTCACTGGACCCTGGCAAGCCTTAAGTTTCCTCATCTGTGGACTGACATTCCATGGGTCTGGCACGCAGAGGGCGTTGGGTGGATTGACTGCTTTCCCCAGCCTGAACCACCTCGTGGGCTCACACCATGGAGCTAAGTCTGTCCCCTCCATGGAGTGTCAAGGGCTGTGGGGTTTGGAGAAAACATTTAATTCCATTTCTGTAGTCCTCAGGCAGGGAAGACTACGGGTGGGCAATGGCATGATCGCCCGACGTCTAGGAGCCCCAGGACAGAGTGCTGGCCACCAGATGCAGGTGGCTGGTGAGCTGTCTCTACACGCAGTCCCACTACTATATCATGGGCCATTCCTGTGACCCCGCCTCATACAGGCCTCAGTGGCCACGGGCTGTGCTCCAGCTCACCCTTTGACTCTTGGACCTGTGCCACATACTTAGAGCAGAGGCAACAGCATGTGAAACAGGCGCTGAGAAGCCTTGGCCACCTTTCCCCGACCACACCTTCGGGTTCTTGGATCATTGGCTATATTTGTTGTCTGAAACTGAAAAATCCAGCTGTCCGGTGGACTCCTGGCCTGGTGACTGGCAGCACTGTCAACAGTCTTGTGAGGTCTACAGGCATGGGGAGAATTCCAGGGCTGAGCTGCTCCTTGCTCCCTTGAGACACATGTGCAGCAGGACAACTCAAGGTCGTGCCAACAGACACAGCATGTGGGATTGCCCTGCCCTGGGCACGTCAGCGCCCCGAGGAGACCAGGCTGCTGCTGCTCCCATCTGGCCAGGGGCCCACAGGCGGTCACTACTGCCGCGGCTGTTCTGCTCCACAGGCAGTCATGGCTGCTCATCTGTGTGCCGCATCCCTGACTCTCGTCAGGTGGGAAAGGCCGTCCTGGGAGGCTGACATTTAGCTGCTGGTGTGCGCAACTGCCTTGAGACATTTAAAAGAAAAATGTGTTTACTCCCTCATGTAAAATGGAAATAGTTTTTCTGTGATGAGTGCCCTCAATCACTAAAAACAAATATTTTGTTTATTTTTAACAAAACGTGAAAATGATCATGATTGCCAACTTGGGTTAGCATTACCAACAAGTGCCACCAGGGGACGACACCGCACCAGGGAGGAGGGCCCAAAGCCCGGGACTCTAGGTCAAAATGTCTTTTCTCCATGAAAATTCAAAAAATATGTTTTGTAATTTAGTTAAATGAAAATACTGAAAGTGATATAGTAGAGAGCACTTTTAATGGAAAATTAATTGATAACACAATCTTATTTCAATTTACTTTTATTTTTAACTTAAATGACTGTGCATGTTCCACAGTCCTGTGAGAAAGGCCCCAGAGTTAGGCCCCGGTCTCCTCAACATTTCATTTCGAATTGTTTTTTCCTCACGTTGTGCATTGATATGGGCTTCTCAGTTCAGAAAACAAGGCACTATAACTATTTTATCAGCTACATTAATACATTGAAGATATATTTATCCTTTCATTAAATATACAGCATTTGAATACAATATGGTTTTATGCAGATCAGGTTCAAAACACCCAAGGCACACACTTTATTTTTTCCTTTTTTTTTTCTTTTATGTATTTATTTGAAGGCTCATATTAAAGTTTCAGAATTGCTATGAACAAAGAGTTCCAGAGTAGAAGCAATGGACAGTGATCGTTGTCATTTTAAACATGAAACGGCAAAGACTGTGAAATGCAGAAACAAGTTACAGGAACAATAAAGAAACAAAACCACCGATAACAGCATGGATTAAAATCGAAGTGGCCAGATCTGCTGACGTCTGAGAAACAAGTTTGGAAATTATCCGATTCCCCACAAAGCCCGGGCCGTCCCCTGTGCATGCAGCTGCTGTGGCCCCCCAGCCACGGTGGAATTGTCACCTACTTGCATGTGTCCGTGGGTATCTACAAGTACAGAAACACGCTCCAGTTCACTAGCTGTTAAAATGCCTGAAGTAAAGTTTAAGTAAAAGAAAACCTTTTCCAGTATTTTTCCCCCTAATAAGAGAAATTAATACTCATCTAGAAAAAGCGGTCTGGAAGAGACCATTGGACAGTGAAGTCGGAGAACATGTTAAAGTCTGAGCGAGACTGTGGGATGGTGAGGCAGGAGGGCTTTAATAGATGAGCTGATTGGAATTGGTCGTGAACATGGGAGCGTAGCGGCTGCTGCTGAAATGGAGAATGTGCCAAACTAGAAGAAGCTGTGCAGGAACCCAAGACAACATGAGGCCAAAGAAGAGGTTCCAGGTTTAAGTTTGAAATTTGTTTCCCTTTAGGGCTGGCCCACGTTTTCCTGGCTCGGTTCTTTGCCAAATGCTCTTTTGCTCCAAGCCTTAGTACAGTGTTTGCTTATCAAAAGCAGCATCAGGTTTACGTCAACCAGAGTGGCTGCCCAATTCTGCAACTGCCATGGCTAGAAAACAGGCCAGCTGGGGACCAGGGGGCCTGTACTCCCAGGGCAGAGAGCCAAACCTCCATGGCGTCCCTGCTTCCGCCCAGAAACAAAAAGAAAATCCGAGCCTCAGCCCTGTGCTTGGAGGAGGGTTCACAAATGCCGATTCTGATGTCTCACACAATTCCGAAATAATACACAAGTTTCCATTTGTATACTGAGAATACTTTAAGGAAATGGAACCAAGGCATATTAACTCAATCAATGGAAGGAGCATTTTTATTCTTTGATGAAAGATATCTGGCTAATGTTATAGAGGTAAAGCCAGCTACAGATACTTCAATAATCTACGTTAGATTGCAAGTTTGGCAACTTTTAGTTGGTTTAATTCAGACAGTTTTCACTGTTTGCAATCAGAACCACAACCTTAGTGCAATAGTATATTTATTTCTTTTTTTTACAGGAATTTTGGTTGCCATACAAGAGATTAAAGGATTGGGGAGAAAGTGCAAATTACAGGAGCTTGATTTTGTTTTGCTTTTTTAATAAAGTCTAAAAAGAATAAAAGCACAAAAGTAACAGCAACACAGATAATGTGAACACATGTTGTTATACACAAACTATAGTGTGAAACATTAGTATTTAAAAAAACAAAAAAAATCGTTAATGGGAAAATCAATATTTGTGGCCCACACACAAAAAGTCATTATCAGATCAATTGGGTAGTGCTTGCTTGTTCAATAATTGAGAAAAAAAATAATTCACCATTTTATTAACTAAAGTATCACAAATAATTCACTTTGTGATATATAAAGTTCAGCAAATCAACAGTCACATTGAGTCATTTTTATATGAATTAACTTAAAAATATGCACGGACACCCTGGAGAAGGTATCTTGGCAGGTATACAGAATTTACATCTTGAGAGATTTTGGTTTTGTATACACGATATTACAGAAACTAGGAATGTAAATGCAGATTATTTAAATTACAGTATATAACAAAAGTTGATCTTAAAACCTGGAATAATATTAACATGATTTTTATATGAGCAGTTTAACATCTGTCCCACCATTAAAGAGGGTCATGGAATAGGGCCTGGTCCTTACATGTCCCAAAGGGGGAGAACAGTGGGTGGTGATTTAAATGAGGAACTATTGCTCTCTGTAGCCAAATCAGCCAACAGAGCTAGAGACCGATTCATCTTGGCAACACGTGCTGATTTTATTGGTCAGTGCAGGTTCTGACAGGTCCCGTGACTTCTCTATAATAAGACAATGTAAAAATAAACTATTTCATCAGCTCTTTAGTCTTGCAGCCAGCTTGCTTCTGGTTAGTGGCATGTGGCATGTGGCTTGACGTCTAGAAGAAAGGGAGGAACAGCCAGCTCTGCCCGACAGTCTACCCGAGGTTTCTCCTGCCTTCCTCTTACCTAGCATTTTGCCTGGCACTGAGCACAGAGGTAATACCAACAGTAGGCAAAGGAAAAAGAGCTATGGAGAAGTGGTGGACTCACTAAATTTTGCACTATCACCAAATGGAAGACAAATTAATGGCCAAACCACTATGTTTACCTTTTTCTGTAAATGTAGCCCATCTGTAAATACAGCCCATCTGTAGTATGGGCTACCATACTGGGCAGCCCAGCAGGCCACCCATAGTATCTTGGCTGGAAATTTCTCTGGAGTAGCGTTCATTCATCTCCCAATGGAAAAACTCAAAAAAGTATGTAGAAGTGAAGCGCCTTAAGATTCAATTATTTCAAGTTGGACTATTCAAATACAAGATTGACCTGCAAAATGTTTTGGAACAGGAAAAGTTCTAAAGACTCGGTTTCCAAATCAGGGGCGTGTGGCTGGACAAGTGTGTGAGAGAGTGTGTGTGTGTGTGTGCATTTTGGTTCTGTTTTTAGAGAAACTGCTGCATTATTAATTATAACCACTTTTGAAGAAATTGTCCTTCAATGATGAAGTTCTAGCAAAGATAGAAAATATAACACAGCTCTGCTGGTTCAGATGCATCCAAATAAGGTTGATTTTAAAAAGGTCAGACTTTTATAATTATCCCACAGAAATAGTATTATCAAATCACAAAAGTTTTTTTTTTTCTTTAACTTTCTAGCACTGAAGTGGCACAAAGGCTGCCTAGTAGACCAGCCACTTTTTTTTTCTTAAAATATTGTGCTTATAAACTATCTGTACAACTATTTAAACTTGCAGTAAAGAAAGATTTTAAGTTGCTGAATTGTACGTATTCATTCTAGAGCTGTTCCAGACCTAATCAGACACTTGGTCGTGAGCATAACGAAAAAAAAAAAAGGAAAAAAAATCATGTTTTATAATTAGAGATGGGCCGAGCTAGTTCTGAAATGATAATAAAACCAAAACCTGACACTCGAGTAGCCTCCAAATGTGGGAGAATGTGCTGGAAGCCTGACTGGATGTTTTGCAGCCCACATGCAGTTGGTGACCTCCCTTGGCAATCAGAGGTGCTGTTACCGGGAGGAGGGACTCCAGGGAAAGCCTGGGGGTGCTCAAGGAAGCCTGGCCACAGAGGCCAGGCTGGCCGTCCAGGGGACCTCCTTGTGGTCATTTCTTTATCAACTGCTTCTCACTCTGATCCTACAGCCCACCCTATGTTCTCAATCCTGGGTTCTGTGTACACTCCAAACCCACTGGGTCCTCAGAGGACCTGCTATACTGTTAAGACAAGCTGGTGGGATTCCTAGACACCCAGAAAGGAAGGGGGAAAGCCCCGAAGTACCATCTTCTCTGGCCTCTGAGAGCAAAAGGCCTGCCTCAGCAGAGATGCTCACCCTGGGCCGGGCTCAGACCTGAAGGCCCTGTGCTCCCAGCTCCCAGAGAAGACACGGTCTCACGGGGCAGCAGCACAGGCCCACCATGAGCCGTGCGTCGTCTCGGGCTTTGTGTCAGAGTAGATGCTCACCTGCTCTCGTCTTTGCTGAGCTCGACACACCGTCCTGAGAAAGCGCTCTGAGAGGCAGAGAGCCCTTGCTCCGTCCCGGACAGGTGTGCCTGGCAGACAGCTGCTCTCGTCCTCGAGGAGGCCTGGGACCAAGGCAGCTGCGTGCTGGCTAGTTCCCGTGGCCAGGTCTCCTCTCCTTTTTAGAATCATGACTTTGTGCTTTGGCTAACTCCGTGTGACATCTGTTTGGCCACCTTGGAATTATGCTCACAGATTTGCAGAAATAAAGAAAGCAAGCTAAGCAAAGCTGAGCACGATCCCGGTCAGGCTCCCCACCGCCGCCAAGAGCACCATGGCCAAAGAACCACGGACGCTCAGCACAGGATGAGATGGGAGAAAGACTCTACAGAGGAAAATTAAGTTTCTCTACCTTTCAGGCCCGAGAAGGGGCACCAGAAAAACACATCTGGGAGCAGGTCACTGTAAGCAAAGTACAGGAAAGAGAAAGGAGCAGGTGAGCATCGGGTGTCCTCTGAGAGGCCACGAGACTGAGGATGGCCTCCCGTGGGGCCTCGGGTGGTGAGAGCTGCCCAGAGTGCAGAGGAGGGAGGTCTCAGGAGGTATCTAGAATACACTGGTGTCTGCCTGCAAGAACAAGGATCCCGCGCGAAATCGACGGGGGCTTCTTGGACCTGGCAAAGTGAGGTCACCTGCATGCTGGGAGGCAGGCTGGGGATCTCTTTCCATGTTAGAAAAACACTCTTTCCTTGTCCCCTATTTGACAGAAACTGCCCAAGAAACCCACAGACAGCTGAGAGTTTCAAGGCCTTTGCTCAGCCACTCCCTGGACAAACTCAGTATTTCTTTGGGTACCAGGAGACAAACCCATGGACTGGGGTTGATGCTCACAGACTTTGCTCGACTGTTCCAGTATTTCAGGGTAAGCCCATCTCTACTTATAACAAGAAGTCTGTAAGGGTCAAGAGCAGCCGTCCTTATCTGTCCAGCAGCTGTTTCAAAGCCCTTTCTATATTCATTCTGTGCCCAACTCGAGTCACCCCGAGATCGATTAGGTCTTCCTTCTGAAGGTTTGGTAAGTGACTGCCATCGATCTCATTGTCCATGAAGGTCTCCTTATGTTCACCCAAGTTTAGACTTTCCAGCCAATCTGCCACATCTGGTTTAGTCCACAGGTGGACAGGTTTAGTTGTAAAAGGCTTATTTGAGATTGGCTGTTGCAGTATTGAGGGAGATGGTGACCTGCTGCGTCCCACTGGGTTCAAGCCAAATAGGTCCCCAGAAGGGGCCTGGCTCGGAAGGCTAAAGACATCTGAGAGGGTGGGAGACGGAGAGGCCGCAGCAGCGGGCAGAGGGGCGGGCAGCATCTCTTTGCTCATCTCTGTTGGCGAGACCACAGGGCTTGGGGCGCGTCTTGTTCCTGAGGTCCTACTTTCATACTCGGGGGGCCGGCTCTGCAGGGTGATGGGCTGGGAAGTGCCAGGGCGGACAGTGAAGGTCACTGTCGTGCTCCGTGTACCTGAGACGGTGCTCATGACCTCCGGGCTTCTGAAACGGTAACAACAGAGAAAATTGTCACAAGGCTACCAGGTCAGGTCGGCAGAATGCAGACCACCAAGGCAGGCGAGGCGGACACCCAGACCACACCAGAGCGTGCCGTGGCAGGGGTGCTGGCTGTGAGCACGTGATCTGCCACACCAGGACAGGGAGGGGAGAAGGGGCCAGAGGCAGAGTTCAGGAAGGCACCAGAGCACACCAAGCAGCCACTCACCTGAACCCAGGACCAAGGTGCTGCACGGGTCTGCCTGCCTAGGGGTGTGTGTGTAGGCAGGGGTGGGGTGAGGTGGGGTGGCAGGTGGCCTGCGAAGCCCTTGAAAGGCCTTGCTCTAACAAGGCACAAAGGCAGAGCCAGAATGAGCGCTGCCCCTGAGTGGGACATGTCCAGTGGCATCACTAATGCCCCCTGAGGGAAGGACATGCCCACGTCAGCAAGTAGAAGGAAGCACATCCTTGAGGAGAGACCCTCTGTCAACTGTCCCACTGTCCCCTGGCTCTGGCTTGAATGGACAGGTGGCCCTCCCTCTTCAGTAAGCAGACAGCCCTGTGTCTACCTGGGGGCATTCAGGGTTTGAGGATTCCACCCATAATCTCAGAGAGCAAGGAGTAATTTGTCAAGTTCTGTGCATGGTGAGCTGACCTAAAGACAGGGTTTGCTTCACAAGTTGACGCTTACCAACACTGCCTGGACTGTTGCGTGCACTTAGGTATTTTCTAGCCCCTTTTCCTGTGAAAGACTCACTAACAGAATATACAGTCCTTACCTAAAAGCAGGACTCTGAAAAAAAAACCCTGTTCTCCCCATGGCCAGGGGAGTCCTTGGCAGTGTCCTGGGCCTGCCTGCTCTGGTTGGGCAAGTACAGCCCCTGGAGCTGGAGAGGGGACAGGCTTGTCCCCTAGGTCCAACCTTTACTGGCCCCATGGAGGTAGCTGGGTGGCTTTGTGGGGGGGGGGGAGGTCACAGCTCAGTGCTGGAGAAGTCCCTAGCCCTGAGTCCCCTGTGTGAAGTGGCCTTTCATAAACTCCCTCCCTGGTATAGGCCAAGGCCCCTGGAAGGCTTTCTCATCACACCTGGAGAGGGACAATCACTCCTCTGGGCCCTGGTGGGTGTCCCGCTATCTCCAAATGGAAGACATATCTGTCCCATTACCCCTGGGAAAGCCACAGCCATGGAGAGGCACAAGCGTGAGGCTCTCGCCTTTTGGATTCATCTGCATGGATGAAGATGGACCAGCAAGCCCCGTCTGGTCCATGCACCTGCCGGCCCCTCCTCAGGACCTGGACTTGAGACATGTCTGCTGGAGCCCTGGCTCTGCTGAACACTGGCCCACAAGCCTCCATGTCTTCATCTATGAAATGGGCTCCTCTCTCTCCTAAGTGGTGGGACAGCCTACGAAGAGGGGCTCTGGGGAGCACCAGGTGTGGCCCGTGACTATGAGTGATGGCAGGTGGCTGTAGCATCTCAGTGGAAGGGTTGTGGTCGAGAGGAGTGCCCCAGACAGCTGAGATGCCACTGTGTGGAGTGACTCCCCAGGGACAGGACCGAAGGCCCTGCACATCCACTGTCAGCCAGTTCTGTCAGTTTTCATCGTGACATCTTTGGAGATCAGTTGCTGCCCAGTTAGAGCAGCATTACTTAAAGAGGAGCCCACAGACTCTTCATAAAATCACCCAGGATGCCAGTGAGGTCAGCTGGCCCTGTTAAAGCTACAGAGATAGGACTGCTGGGGATGGGGACCAGGTGCCTGCAATTAAGCAAGCCCCGGGCATTCTGATAGATACTGGCCTTTAGAAAGCACCTGATTAGCCTGGTCTCTCTTCCCGAGCTGTCAGAGGTCAAAGGCCAGAACCTGCAGGGAGGCTGAGCTGGAGGGGCGAGCGGCAGAAGAGGCTGCAGGTCGGCTCCCCGCTCCTGTCTGTGGGTATCCCTTTTCTCTCGCTGTTGTTTTCTTTACCGCTGACGTGTATTGGGGCAAAACCATGGATGGGTTACCTAGGTGCATCCAAGCCTTGTGAGACGTCCCCCCCTGATGTGAGGCCTTCTTACTTCATGTGTGGAATATTCCATGGTGAAAGAGTGGGTCTGAAAAGGGACTAGTCCTGTGGTCTCCAGCAGCCATCCTGCCATGAGACGTGTTTCCACATGGCTGGCCTGGTGCTCGTCCCCCGGCTTCCCACAGGGTGCTCAGGTGGCTTCCCGGATGGCTGGGTGCCCCAGGGTGGGACCTGCTACAAACAGGGTGTTTCTGTCTAGAGCCCCCAGACCGCATGGGGGAGCAGGTGGCCACAAACAGGTATGAGGCAGCCCCAGGTGAGGACTCAGCCACCACTATGAGGCCCAGCCAGGCTCCACCTGCTGGGGAGGGGGCAGCGCCCCCTGGTGTCTGCATTGAGATCCTCATGGCTGAGGTGGGCTGTGGACACAGACACAAGAACCAACTCTGGTGTTCAAGGCCCCCGTTCCAACCAGAGCAAGCGGCAGCTGGCGGGCAGTGCTGAGGCTTGTCCCTAAGTGGCTTGGCTGTCTCTGTGTGCCACAGCTATACGGTGTGTGTGTCTTGGGGGAAGGGTGACTTCTTTGATAAACTAAGCTGATTGAAATAAGATCATGAGGAAGTGTAAAGCCGCTGTATTCAGGGGTGGTTTGGGGTGTTGATTACGGCCAGGAGGAGTGCTTTTCTTTAAGTGAGAAAATATCCCACAAGAATAATTTGCTCAGGTCTGACTGCAGTGAGGAGGGTAGAGTAAAGGTCCTGCCTGGATGTGCTTTCTTGGAAGCTGACTTTGCTTGGTGACCGTGCCCATGACTCTGAGTCTGGGTGGAGCCATTGAGGGAGCACAGACTTGTGAAGCGAGGCCAGTTAGTCTCAAATTACAGCAGCTGCTGCAGACCTGGGCCGGTTTTAGTAGTGGGAGTCTCTGGCCCAGGGCATGGCACCTGCGCCAACCTCACTGTGGAAATTCCCAGCTGATCCCAGGCACGGGAGGCTCTGTAGGCAGGTGTGTGTGGGACGTGAAGGGGGGCTCTGCAAACACCTCGGTGGGCAGCGGGGATGAAAGACAGTGGCACACACAACAGCACATGGGTACCTGCAGGCGGCACTTACTTCTGATCAGCACGACCCTCTTCTGTGAACACCCATCATGGGAGCAAATGAAAATGACAAAATGCAATGACTTGAGACAACAATGCAAAATTAATAAGGAAGAGAAAAGAAGCGCTTGATGGATGGAATGAGCAGCGGTACAGACGTCGGCTGAGAGTCCGTCTGTGGCCGTCCCTGTGGCAGGCTGCGGAAGTGCTTGGCATTGTGAAAATCGACACGGACACCGCTTATTTAGAACAGGAAATTAACAACTTTGATTTCTGGCCTAGGGTAATGTAACTCACTTATAAAGAAGAAAAATACCCAGGAAGAAGTTCAGAAAGAGAAAACAGTGACATTGGAATGCTGTTAGCCTCTGCCTGACACTCTCGGAGAACCAGCTGACTGCTAATCCCCTAACTCGGGGCTGAGCCGCCTTCTCTCTTCGGCAGCTTAGGGAGGATAAACCAACATTCCCGCCGAGAGGGAGGGCTACCCCAGGATGAGAGGGTGGCCAGCCAGCAGCTAATCACGAGGCAAGCAGATCTGGCCCCGTGCCTGCCGATGCCCCACCCCATACGGCTACAGGAACGAACAGAGAATCTCAGAGGCTGAGTAAGGCCCGCCCTGCCCTGCCCTGCCCTGCCCTGCCCTCCTCCTTAATGCACAATTCCCTCTTGGTTCATCACACCGACGCTGTTCACTGGATCCTCCCAGTTGCACAGATCATTATGTTGCTAAGCAACCCGTGGGTGCCCAGGCAGAACACATGGGATGTGATGGCCTGATTTAGAACACAGACACACCCACACTCCACAGCCCCTCTTGGACTACCACTCTCTAGCCTGCCTTTGAAATCAAATCCATATAGGAGTGTGAGAATTAAAAAAGAAAAAATCAAGAGGTAATTGAGTCACTGAGAGATGCGGTGTTATTCCATCAGTCAGCACTGGTTCGATGGCGTGGGGGAAGTGAATGTGCAGGCAGCTCTTGCCCTGTGTTTACAAATCCAGTCTGGCTCCTCGACAGCGATGGTGGGCCAGAAGCTGTTCAGTGAGGCCCACTGGGCCTACTGCTTCTATCCCCCACACAGGATGCCTGGTCTGGGTTCAGAGTCCTGTTAGCATGAAATTCTTTCCTCCACACCAAGTCACATGTCTCTGTTTTAGCGACAAGCCCCCATCCTGTGTGGACAGTAGCACTGATTTCCAAACCGCCCTCCTGTTGAGTTATTTTTGTCTTCATGGCCACCTGATAAGTGGGGTGCCGAAGACACAGGGAACTGGGGTGCTGAGTTGCTCACAGTTTGGCCAAGGCCTGTAGTGCTGAGAGTGGGTCAGCACTGCTCACTGTGCCGTGCCTCTCGTCATGTTCCAGCAGCTGGGATGCCTCAGTGCACACCAGGCCTGTCACCCACGGGCTCTGAGCACCGGGAGGGGCCCTGGTCTGTCTTCAGTCCTCAGGGCCTGGCCCAGAATGAATGGTTGATGGATGTGATCTCCATCGCCCTGATCACTTGGTTAAGCAACTTGACCAATGTTACAGAGCCAGATCCAGGCGTGGGGGGGCTGCCTTGGGTTCAGCAGCCATTCCACCAGGAATCCAGGTCTTCATGCCAGAAGGTTCACATCTAAGCTCAAGAGGGCACAAGATTTCAGGGGGAAACGTTCACCCTGTGATAGGCTCTTGCCAAAGGGGTCTCAAATGCAAAGTGAGAAGGATGGGTCCAATTTGAGGCCTGCCCTTTGACTCGCAAGGACAGGCTCCCACCGGCGAGACGTGTCTAGATAAGCATGCCCGAGCGAGCGTTCACCAGTTACCTGTGCTTTCACTCACTGGCAGTGCCTTCACGTTTCATGCCGTGCGGTGAGATCATGGAACTGCCCTGACGGTGCTGAGACTGTG